GGAGAGGTCTCTATGAATTGGGGCCAACTTGATGGCACATAACAACATTGTAAATGGTATTGATTTCCTTATTTCTTTTTCAGCAATCTCTTTGCTGGTGTAGTGTATTTTTAGAATTTTATTGTGATTTGGGTGGAAGTTTACAGAGCAAATTCATCTTCCACACAGTTCACATATACTTTGTCTCATGACATTGACTGTAATTTCCCACAATGCAACAGCTCTCCTGCCTCTTTCTCCCCATAGTCACCTCTTCCCTGAGTCCTTCCCTCTAAGCACTCTTGCCCCGAGCTATGTCCCTGTGCATACACAGCCCTTCTATTCTCCCATGATTAATTTCTCCAAGGAGTGTATCTTCCTAATATAAATGTTCAGCTCAAATGCCTGTCTTTTGTTTGGCTGGAAGCCACAGCAGTGGGTTCAGTTCCAGACCTGAAGGGCAGCTAGGAGCCATAGTCTCAGGGGTTCCACCAGGCTCTATCAGACCAGCAAAACTAGTCCTTTTTTTTTTTTTGTTTCCTAATGATTCTGACTTTTATTCCACATTATTCTCCCACTCTATCCAGGATTTCCTACACAGATCCCTTTTCAAGTGGTTGACAGTGGTAGCTGGGCACCAGCTAATTCTTCTGGTCTCATTGTCATATAGGCTGAGGACTGCATGGTATACCAGTAGCTTGGACTATTTGTTCCCATGTGTCTTTGGTTTCCTTCATTCTTCTTTGCTCTGGACAAGGAGAGACTTATATCGTTGTATCTACATAGCCGCTTGCAAGACTTTAAGATCCCAGTTACTACTTGCTGAAGTAGGATGTGGGAAAATGTTAGTGTAGCATGTTATGCCCACTGAGCTTAATGTCCCCTGCAACCGTGGTCCCAAGCCCACATGTCTAACTACTCCCTTCGAGTAGCTGGCTGTGGCCAAGAAGTGACTACTACCTTGTCCCTTGTCAGCTCTACTATATACCTGGAAATTCTTGTGGAACATACAAAAACACTTGTAGAAACATTGTCTCCCTATCCTATGCATGGTCATGGGCATACTCCCCGCCTGCATAGACATAGCTGATCATTCAGCCTGTCCACCCATCTATCCAGACGTCTATCAGTGTTTGCCATCACTGACAATGCAGTACTGTATCCTACATATGTATGTTATAAAAATGTCCATATGCAGTTTAAACCTAAGAGAAGGCAAAGTCAGAATAAACGTCTGAGCCACAAATAAGCATCTTGAAGGAGTGGGTTGCAAGGTCTGCAGGCTGGGGACCATGGTTGCAGGACACATCAAGCTCATTTGGCACAACATAGTATTAAAAAATACTGTTCTACATCTTACTTCAGTGAATAGCGACTGGCGTCTTAAAAGCTTGCAAGTGGCCATCTAAGAGGCAATTACTGGTCTCTCCTCATCTGGAGCAAGGAAGAGTGAAGAAAATCAAAGGTGTGGAAACAGTCCATAAGGACTAATGGACTATGAGAACCGCAGCCTTTATGACGCTGAGACCAGAACTAAATGGTGCCTGGTTATCAATACCAAGTACTCAGAAAGGGTTCAAAACTGGAGATTTTGAATAGAGTGGGAGAGAAATGTGGAACAAAACTCACAATCATTAAAAAAAAAAAAAAAGACCAGGCTTACTGGTCTGGTAGAGACTGGTGAAGGTCCTGAGAGTATGGCCAAGTCACCCTTCCGGCCTGGAACTGAGTTCGCTCCCATGGCTTAACTCTCAGCCAAACAGACAAGCCTGCTAGTGGAACATCCGTACGAGGGAAATGCATTCCTTAAAACAATCTACTATGGGAGATCAGAAGGGCAGCATTTGTGCAAGGAGAAAGACGGGCAGGCAGGAATGCATAGGCAAGGACACAGGAAAGGGTAACCACCGAGAGGAAGTGAGATAAGAGCTGTTCACTGCAAGAAAGGTATCCAGTATCACAAAATGTGTATGAACTGTTGGACGTGAAACAAATCTGCAATCTAAAATTTCACCCAAATCACAGTAGAAAGTTTTTTTTTTTTTTTTTTTTTAATCGAAGATTTAAAGAGACTGAAGTGGTAAGAAACCTGGGTCCACGCTGACTCAGATGAAGAGCAGACTAGAGCATATTTGAGTATAAACCCTCTCAATGTGATTTGAGGCTTACAACTCTGTATTTTACAAGCTTTGATCTTTAAATTATTAAAAGTTCATAAAATAATGGAAAGGAATATTAACAAATGCTAATAGTTACCTCTGAAAGATTACAATATGGGAGTTGGGAGGGTCAGGATGGGGCTGGTGATAGTGGAGAAATTGGTACTCTGCTCTAATCTTGAGTACTTTCTAAACATTCTAGAAGACTTGTATTACTAAAAAGATAAGCAAATTTGACATGGCAACTCAGGGATAAAGTTTTAAAAGTCAGTGCAAGATTTATGATTCCAGTATTTTACAACTTTTTGAAAGGCCATGTCTATTCAATTAAAAAAAAAAAGACGACACAGAATCTTGATAACTTTTACCCTAATTACATCCGTCAAATGTTTAATCCTATGTAAAGCCCTTAGGTGTTGCCACCTGTCCTATGGTTTTAAATACTATCATTAAAGTGACCCCAAATTTTATCTTCCCCCTCAGTGATACAACGGTTAAATGCTCAGCTCCTAACCACAGGCTGGCAGTTCATTACAGCCAAGAAAATCCTAGGGGCCAGTTCTACTCTGTCACATGGAGTCACTGTGTCAAAACCAACTTGACAGCACCCAACAACAAACCCCTGAACTCTACACTTATTCTATGTGCATCTTCCAATTTTCTCCTCTACTGGTGGTTTAAGGAGCTCTGGTAGCGAAGTGCCTAAGGCACTTGACTGCTAACCAGAGGGCTGGCGGTTCAAACCCACCAGCCACTCCTCGGAAGGAAGATGGGGCAATCTACTTCAGTAGTGATACTGCCTCGGAAATCCAAGGAGGGGTCGCTATGAGCTGGGTCCGACTCGATGGCACATAACAACAAAAACTGGTGGTTTAAAATCTCAGCTAATGGCATCCTCATCCTTGCTTTCCTTTCTTGCTCACATTTTATCCATCTCTAAATCCTGTCAGCTTTACAATCAAGATACATTCGTAATCTTATGGCTCCCTACAACCACACTGCACCCCAGACCCCCAGTCTTTCACCTGGACAATTGCAACAGTCTCTTTTATTTTGTCCCATTATAGTCTATTAGCCACCCACCAGAGAAATGTAAAGCTGACTTTGTCACTCTCTTGCTTAGAATTCGCCAATGGCTTCCCATCACTCTCAGTGTAGAATCTAAATTCCTTACTCTGAGTTTATAGCCCTACATGGTCAGGCTTTTGCCAATCTCCACAGTCTCATCATCTACACTCACTAGGCTCAGGTCATAATGGCATTCTTCCTCAGCATATAAGCTCATTCCTGGTTTGAGGACTTTTACTTTTATCAAGGGTTTCTAGAATGCTTTTTGATCCTGGGGTAATTCTATCATCATTCAAGGTCATTGTTCCCCAACGACCCTATAATAGTCTCATTATTCTGCCACTATATCCTATCTTATTTTAGAATTGTTTCTGAAATTATTTTGTGTTTCATTGCTGTCTCATCTACTAGGATGTAATAATCTTCAGAAGGCAGTGACTTTGTCTTGTAACCAAATATATATCCATCACCTAAGATGGTGACTGGCACATGGGTCTTCAATTAATAGTTCTTGAATGGCTAGGGTCAAAATATTCAATCACCTTTCCCTGATATAAACAGTTCTTCCAACTCATCCATACATTGCAATGGCAACTCATTCCCTCTCACACACAAAAAAATAACCACCTCCCACAAAAATACTTCACCACAAATTCCTTGGAATGTATTACTAGATGTCTATGGTCTGTATCAACTATTATAAAAAATATGACACAAAACCTGAGCTTCATATATATGTAGTTTTATGCACCAAGCAGTACTGCCCCTCTTTTGAAGCCTGTCCTTACCTGTTGTCAGACCCTAATTTTATTTAGCTAAAATTTTTTGTTTTGGGGAATAGGGTAAGTGAACAAACTAGTGTGATATGCCCTGTATTAACACACTCCCAGAGATGGATGAAGACTTTATATCTTTCTCAGAGGCTGCAGACTCACTTATAGCCTCCTCCAAAAAAATTTCATAGGTTTTTTTGCTATAAAAAATTTGAGATCTAAGACCAATCTCAGTAAAATTTCCAGTATTAGTGATTAGTACCAGGGAGCAAAAGATGCTTTGGGATAAAAATGAAAAGCAACCAGATAAAAATGTCAAATAAAAAAGCTTTTCATAAACTTTGTTTTGTCCAAATGAAGCTTAGAATTCAAGTTCCAGTTTTTGTTTTTATAGTTCAAACTGTTACACACCTTCCTACAGACCACAGGAACATAGATCAGTTTGGGAAGGAAGCATCATTATTTGGGTTCAGTTTTTGCTAAGAAACATAAATGTAATTATGATTCTTAATAACTGTATTTAAACCAAGCCGTTTCTTCAAATTTTTTTTTCTTTACTGTGTTTAGCAAGGAAAAACAACGAACAAACTGATGAATGCTTCTCTTTGTAAGGTGACTGTATTATAAACAAGACTATAATAGTAAGACTAAAATTTAGTGCAGAGTCAAATTTGAATGGTACAAGAATATGCCTCAGGTATGTCTCAGAATAAGGCCTCTAAATGATTTTAAATCAGAAGGTGACATTATTCTCTAAAGTGATACTAACAATACGACTTCAGGGAGTGGCAACACTTTATCACTGAGAAGGAGGGAGGAAGAAGTATCAATGAAATGATGATAATGGAAAGAATCAGAGTAATTTTCTTGGGTTAATTACATCACTATGAAGATGTGTCAAAAGTTCTAAATAATTTCCTGATTTATATTAAAATACACTTCAAAAAGACCATAAAAACACAAATTTAGTCGACAGGCTACAATGGGATTGAGAAAAAGACACAGTGAATATAGACTTAGGTGCAATTTCATGCTGGTGATTTTTCCTTTTCAAAATGTAAGCCATTAATATTTTAAGAAATTTTTAACCAAAAGTTGCATATTAGTATTACACACAAACTAAAACATAAGTGACTGATAAGCACAGTGTATACATGCTTACATAAACTCAAATATTTACACATTTAAAACAATTTCCATTTAACATAGGAAAGTTCTGAAATACATGAAGTATTAACACTTTCTATAAAACTACAATTAGAACATCAATTTGTTACAAGCATATAAAACATCAAGTGCTTTCTTGGAGTTTCAAGTTACCTCTTTAAAAAACACTATCTTGCTTGCATATATATAGTCCTTCTCCAATAATCACTATGCATGGTTTTATTTTTTCAAGAGGTTTACTTTCCAGGCATATTATAATAAGCTCAAGAAAACGAAACAAACAATTACGCCAAAAAAAAAAATTAAATTATGTCTTAACATCTTAATTGCACATAATGCTGTAAAGTAGGTTTGGATGAAGTTCTCACACACTTTGGTATACAATCCTCAGGGACTCCTATTAGATTTAACAGGAATTGTAAGTCTCTTCAATCCCCATTTTGCTTTAAAATGGACAAGTCTTTGGTTAAAGTTCTACATATTTTGGGCATTTATCAATTAAAATGGTCCCAAAACCAACAAATGGTGCTGATGTGTTAGTGTTAGTTCGCAAACTTCATTTTCCTGTTTCTGACGCAGTGGGGAGGCTATACATAATTCATGTACATGTCATTGCTAGTTTCAATTTTTCACTTATAAGGAGAAAAATCAATAGGTTTAGTCATTATTACTGTTAATTTTTTCTGTTAAGATCTAAACTGTAGAGTAATTTGCAGGAGCTATAGATACTGTTCCACAGTATACGTGATTATGATTGGGATGATGTAGAGGCATTAAATTTAGAGTTAGCTTTCTCTGATAAGTCAGTATTAGACTGCATTAACTATAGCAGGTTATCAGGTGATGCTTATTCAAAAACCCCAAACCATTCCATTTGTAAGAGAAATTGTTGCAAATGTATAAATCAGCAGATATACAAGAACACCAAACATACTTTATTAGCACAAAAAAGCAGCCATAACAAGGCACAGCAAGCAGAAACATACACTAGCAGTCCAAGGGTTAGTGTTGCATACAAATATAGCTTTTCTTTTTTCTTCTTTTTGTTTGTAGCCTTGGCAATAGCCACAGGGATATAAAATAACAATCTGTAGCAGCAGGTAAGGAAACTAAGGAGCACTCACCAGTGGTACAGAGCACATGAACAAAAAGACACGAGAATGGAGTCCACTACTTTAGTGCAATATGTCTAGGACAGAACTGTAAATTCAATTCAATACTAAGAAGCAAACACTAGAACTTGATATTACTTCCAAAAGAGCTCACTCAAGTAGTATTGTATACTATTCTAAGTGACAAAAAGGTGCTAAGGAGAGTTATTTACAGATATGATGGTTGTACAGTACCTTTTAAATCTGTAATTTCATTTTCAGATTTTCTATTAAAACTTAACTGTACTAAAATTCTATAAATTATATTTAAGCAATTCAGCTATGAGAGTTTACAACAAAGGGATAAATACTGTCATCCAAATAATTAATTACAGTTTCACAATAATTTCAACATCAGAAACCACTGTTGTTATTACTATCTGACTTGTCTGGGCATCTTCTAGTCTCATTTTCTTCATGGTTTGCAAACACATCATGGCCATAGCTAAAGCTCCAACTTCAATGAATCCATTCAACTGCACCTGTCAACTTACAAGACTCACACAAGGACTACACTGCAGCAGCTGTTCCAAATGCCTGTTTTAAGTTAAAGCACTCATTAAAATCATTAATACTTATGGCCTTTAAATAAAATTCTACTACTAAGCCTGAAATTTTAAGAACTATTTAGAAAACCTGGTTTACTTAACAGTACCCTTTGCAGAAGAGAAAAGGAGACTGACTATAAACTATGTCAACATTTAAGTGAACTGCACTATGCCCTTGTGGCCAGAAAATTGCATTTATTTTTTTCCCCCTAAAAGGAAGGCAGTCTTTATTTTTTGGGCTGTTGAAGCTTGATTACAATAACTACAAACATCACTACTTTTGGAAGGTTATAGAAAAATTCTTAGAAAAAATAATAATTTCAAACATTAGTCACACTATTGAAATACCATCCAATAATTTGTTCTTCAGTAAGAAATAGAATTCTTCATAGCAAATGCCCCAGAGTTGCTTCACTCAATTACAACAGCTCTTAAAAACCAAACTTTTAGCTAAATAGGTAAAACATTTTTGTAGGCCTTACTGAATACCTGTAGCTCTATCTCTGTTGTTTCAATAGGCACCATGTTTATCTGAGTAAGTAACAGCAGATTGCATCTGACAGAGGCTAACACTAAGCTTACATACTGTACTGGAAAACCTAACACTGATATGTGTGCTTGCTCTAGGTGTACTGTCTGATGCACATAGAAGCAGATCTAGGACAGCAGAGTTTACTTTGCCTTGACTGGTTCTCGTTCTAACCAGCGAACCCTAACTTTTTGTTTGTAATGATATTCTTTTAAAAAATCCTGTAACACGGATGGTAAAGGGAGCCCATCGATTCCATCATATGTAGTGCATCTGCAGATGACTGCACGACAGATATACTGCAGGCTAAAAGGAAAAGTTCTATTTAGTGAGATAGTAAGCAATGGTTCAAAAAACATGCAAGAACTGGGATCTTTATAATGTTCCAAAAGTCCTGTTACAGTAGAGGAGTGAAACACACATGGGTCGTGGGCATCAAAACTAAAGTTGTGATTCCACTGTTCAATTCGGGCATGCAGGGATCTGTTGTAGCGACGGAAGCTCACAGAGAAGAGGTAGTCCTCTTGCGCAGAGTCCCTGAGCAAAAATGTGCCTTCGGGTTTCCCTTCAAGAAGGGCTTCTGCTTCGTACCGGTCCATCACTCCCCAGTAACAGGGATTACCTGTAATTTGAAGCAGATCGGGCACAAGGCAGTGTATGTAATCAATCTGTGTATGCACTTTCCAAGCTCCCTGCCTGCTAACATGGGCATGGCTGTCTCCAGATACCTGACGTTGCTTTTGCCTACGTGACTGCAAACATAGCGTAGTTGTGTCCTCTTCAGAGTCACAATTAGCTGGTGGAATTGCAGAATTGTCCCCACTTATTTCAGTCATTCCAGGAGCTAACTTTGGTCCCAGTTTATATAACGGATTAACCTGTGCAGTAGCTTCAAATGTATGTATTTGTGCATTGGGAGGGGGATCAACCCCTTCTTCAATACTAAGCCGTCTTCTCTCTCTAAGCCTGTCTTCTTCATCTTCAGTAGAAACCAAAGATGGATCAAACGTATCAAAAAATGTTGAATGCGGGCTTACAGGAGCTGTATGCTGTTTAATCAAATGCCATTTTTGGGCTAAATCTGACCCAGCAGGAAAGGGGCATTTCTCAAGCATTAATTCAGAAAGATGTATTTTTCTTCTATTTGAAAAGAGGGGTTTTGACTGCTTGCTGTAAGTTCTCATGGGAAAACACAACCCAACAGTATCCTGCAACCTTTGTCTCAGAGAGCGACTTCCTACAGTTCTGCTGGAAACACTATCCATATCATGTACAGAGCTCACGCCATATCGCCTCTCTCTCCTTTGAAGTCCACTTCGAGTTCTACCAAACTTTTTATCAGTATCCAATGAACTCTGTGTCTTTGTAGAACAGGAATGTTTTTTCTTCCCACCCCATGGAGCATGTCGAGAATAGGAGTCTCTCCGTGCAAGTCTTGTTCCTGGGGTGGTGACACATGAATCATTATCCTTTTCAATGCTTATTTCAACAATCTGAGGGATTTCAGCAGCACAATTTTGATTTCTCCTTGAAGAATTCTTAGAAGGGCTTAATCCCAGTTGTAAGGCAACATTTTCTCTTAAGGGACTGCTTTGCTGTTGAGGAGCTGAATCACCTATACTGGTGTTTTTCTCTTTGATAGACAAACATCTGTTGGAGTTCATGTCCACATCTTCACTACGGCTTCCTCCCTCATGACTGAAGAGATTCTGACACTTGTATTTGAAGTTATTCCACATTTTTCCCACTTTATCCATTGATTATAAGATCTAAAGACAAAATAAAAAAAGAGAAAAAGTAATTAAACTTTTTGTTTAAATTAATGTGAAAACGAAAAGGAGTACTTATCTGCCCTGTCATTGGGAATCTCAGTGACACTGGTCAAGAATTCATCTTCTACTGTCCTGCTAAAGGAATGATGCAAACATTCTGTTTGGTAATAGTAAGGAGTGGCACTGTACCATCACTCCAGCGAGTCCTCACTTTCCATTTCCTTTCAGACAGAATGCTCAAAATGCAGATGAAAGGAAGCAAACCCTCTCAAGCAAACCCTGTTTCTTCTTCCCCCTCTGCAGCAATGGAATTTCATTATCACATCGATTTCTGTCTCCCTACTTGAGGCAGTACTGCCTCATGTATTATAAAGGGAAAATACAATCTATATCATTGAAATATATTTCTATTCAACTTTTCAAGTTACAATCAGGAACCATATTCGTGCAACCCATTACAATTCGTTAAAACAAACAAACTTTAAGTAGTAATCTTTCCAATTTTACTTACCAACCCTCTTTCTCCATCTAGTAATCTAAAAGTTACAGGTTAATCACTTGTAAAACTCCCTCTTCCATCCTCCCCACCCTACAATGCATCAAATTTTACCCATGATTTTGAAGAAGCAGTTAAGAGCAGAAAGAGAAAACCAGAAAAGAAAGATACTTAAGCTACTTAGGTTTAAATGGAAAGGTGTCTTTAACCTTCCAAATTCTTAATCTTAGAATGGTTTACGAATAATAGAATAAAAGCTATGACACAGTAGTAATTAACAAAACAAAGAACCATGCAATCTGTCATTTTCATTCTTTATTCCTCTCAAAATATAAAGCAGTTTATGGCACTTTACAAATAAATTCTTTCAAGACTACAACATTGATAGGTACAATGACTGTCTTATCCAAGTAATCTCAAAGTCAACGTACAAAGAAATGGAAAAACTTTTAATTTAAAATTCAAACTTATTTTGTCACAATGTATCACGATGTGACAGCAGAAAACTATTTTTAAAAACGTCTCTTTTTTTCTATTTAATAAATATGGCACTTTTACACATTTTTTTTTCAGAATTTTTTATGTTTATCATCTCACTATGTACAATTCTTCACAGTTCAAAATCAGTATTGGAAAACTAGATGGTGATCCTTCCATAACTCTGACTAGTCCTCTTTGTAATAAATATTTGCATTTTCACAAAGATGACTAGGATTAAGAGAATAGAGAATAAACTTTCTTAAATGAATTATATCTTTTTCCATTAGTTTCTTACAGTAGAGACTTTGGAACTAACAATGCTCTTGGACTAACAGCAACATCAATAAAGAGAATTTGACTATAATATCATAAAATATTACACTTTCAGATTACTTAATTTATATTAAAAGTATTGTGTTGGATACTTAGACATTCACATTGTACTTGGCATATGTCTTAACTAAATCTATCAGATAGAACTGTTAAATTTCATATTATACTCTATGTCAGAATATTTAGCCTCCTACCCTTTGCAATTACTTTTCACCTTTTGTGAATTTAACATGCCTTGTTGTTACCACTTATTCTTTTTAAATTAAGAATTTATAGAGTGGGAGAATAATGTGGAATAAAACTCAAAATCATTTAAAAAAAAAAAGGGACCAGCTTTTTGACAAAGGGCCAAAATCCATTAAATGAGGAAGAGAATGTTTGTTTAATAAATGGTGCTGGCAAAACTGGAGATCCATTTGCAGAAAAATGAAACAAAATTTGTACCTCACACCATACACAAAATGAACTCCAGATGGATCAAAGACTTAAACGTGAAACCCAAAACTATAGAGTTCCTCAAGGAAAAACTAGGGGCAAATTTAAGGGCCCTAATATATGGCATAAATAGACTATCAAGCGTAACTCAAAATGCACAAACAGCAGAAGAGAAACCAGATGACTGGGACCTTCCAAAGATTAAATTTTTGTGTGCTTCCAAAGACTTCTCCAAAAGAGTCAAAAGAGAACGTACAGATTGGGAAAAATATTTGTAATAACATATCTGACAAGAGACTTATCTCTAGAATTTATAGAAAATTCCAACACCTCAATAACAAAAAGACAAATAATCCAATTAAAAAATGGGCAGAAGACGTGAATAGACACTTCACCAAAGAGGATATTCAGGGCGCCAACAAACATATGAAGAAATGCTCATGATCACTAGCTATTAGAGAGATGCAAATCAAAACAACAATGGATACCATCTTGCCCCAGCACTAGTAGCAAAGTTCAATGAGACAGAAAATAACAAATGCTGGCG